TGTGTGTGTGTGTGTGTGTCCGTGTCCTACTTAGCAAAAAGCTTGTTCCCACATCCCTGGAAGGACGTGGACCAGTTCAGACACAGATTCAAAGTTAGGAAAACCTGGGTGGGACAAGAGGACTAGGCCTCCGAAATGAAGTCACCTGAGCTGGAAAGACACACGTCCTGTAAGTTGGCTCCACACAGAATGAAGAAGGAAGGGATCCCAGTGGTTCTCCGTCCACGTAGCAAGGATGGAAGAACCAGTGCTGACGTCCCTTCCCGGAGCTGTCTGGGCCCTAGAAGCAGCCGTGTGTGTGGGTGACGACCTGCTGTTTGGGAGCAATAACCCATCCAGGGGGCTCAACACTGGAGGGGCACGCTACCCTGCGGCCCTGCCTCGCACAGGGGATCACAGATGCAACAGGGCGTTTCCTCATCTAGCACAGTCCTTCCAGGCAGCCCTACCAGCCTGGGCTTCCCTCCCGTCCTGCAGGCAGAGAGGCCCAGCCCTGTGCTGTTCCCAGCAGCTCCAGCATTTCAGCTGCAGAGACCAAACCAAATTTCATCTGGAGCTCCCGCCACCCTCAAGCTCAGGACTTCTCAACGGAGGTGTTTCAGAAATCTGCAGGGGCCATCTGGGAGTAACACAATGACAGGAGCAGAACGGGCCGAGGACCCAAGACACCCTCAAGGTGCAGGAGAGTCCCAGTATCACCCACGTCATGTATAACCTCTGAATGTCTGGAAATTCACGTGGATAAGAAACAGTTTCCCGTTATTTAGTTCTAAAATGGAACCATTGACACAGAAGAACAAAATTGTTCCAGTCCTGTTTAAACACACCTTTTATCAAGATTTGTTCACAACGTTAGAAAACTGTCACCAACAGCACCATTTGCTTGTGGCATCTGAGCTGCCCACACACCACAGCTACACTAGCCTGCATCTGCAGCTAACACATACCAAAATTTCACAGGGGCTATTAGAAGTTCCTTTAAATGTATTTAAAGTCAAATTGCTAAGGATCCATGAAATACTGGATACCAATGATTTTCCTTAATAAATTTCATTTTTGCCAGCTATCTAATATTAAGGACAGGAAGCATACTGAAGTTTATTTTAAACCGTGAGAACTGCACATAAATTATTGGGGCTGGGTTGGATTCTTGTTTTTCTACTTTACTCTGATACTGTCCCCAGGGGTCACATACCTCCCTCCCTCCCAATTTCCCTATAATTTTTCTTTTTCAACTCACCCTCTAATCCTAGACATTTATGAAAGGCTCTGGTCTCCCAAGTACTCGGTTTGGGGAGAAATTAAAAGATGGGAGATCTGTTTTCTGAGACACTCTGTCAGCACACCTCCCATGTCCTAACGCAGGGAGTTACTCTGACACAGGCAGCCTGGCTCATTGCAAAACCACCACGCTTCCTCACTTCCTCCACTGCAGCAGCGTTTTGCCTTGGCACATGACCCTGCCTCATTAAGCTGGCTTCCCTGCTTTCTCTTCACGGACCCAGGAAAGCTTGGTCTCTCGTTTCTTTTATGTTAAAGTATACCTACTCATTTTTCTGCTATGGAATGGCTTCGGATGTCTTAAATCCAAAGTTACTCATTATACACAGGTGCAAGGCATCTAACCTCATCTTCTGATGAACGTGCACAGAGCATCTACATGTTCAAATGCGTAATTATGAATTTCTTCTTGCTTTTCCTCTGTGATACTATTTGGGCATCGTACTGACTTTTTAGACACTACGTGTGGGCACATCATTTCATCTTACCAGTTTCATTCCAGGATCACAGAAGGGGAATTATGGAATATCTGTTACAAAAGAGGGCATGAGATCTGAGACAGTCGAGATCCACCCATCCAGAAAGCGTCCCCTCCCAGCCTCCAAGCTTTT